TTAGACTGCAGTCCTACCTACACTATACCCTCTCTTAACCATGACTCCCAGAGGGAGGTCCCACCTCTGAACTACACAGGTGCCTAAGTTTTGTTCTCTGACACCTTCTGAAACCTCCAGTTTCAGTTCTTTGGTGGAGGCACTCAAGCCAAAGTAGACCCCTTTCCTGTTTATTGTGTGTAGACTATGTCTAATTTATCCAGTCAGCGGTGAACACTGTGTGATTCTCACTTCAGGACTATTGTGGTTAACACTCCATGTGAACACTTGTGTATATCTTTACACATATAGATGTTTGCATTTCTTTTTGTTTATATGCTTAGGAATGGAGTTGCTAGGTCACAAATAACATATGCTTGGTAGTGTGAGTCACCTCTCGACAGTTTATGGTGTCTTCATCATTTTACACTCTTTCAACGATCATCTTTTCTGACATGGGGTCTCTCTGTGTAGTCTTTCTCGAGGTAGTAGGGATTGAATCCAGGGTCTTGTTCCCATCTCTCCGATGTGTGGTCGGATGGTACTCCTCTGATGGGATGGCATTGAAATTGAGAGCAGCAAGCAAAAGGAAACAGTGATGGCCAGTTCCTCCAGGCAGCAGGAGTGATGTGTGCCAAGGCCCAGAGCTCTAGAGTGCTGAGCCATGAGCAGTGACCATGAGTACCTGGCACTTGGAAGGTGCTGGGCTATGGCACTCAAGTTTCACCAAACCCTAGGCTACCAGTGTTGCTGGATTTTCTTGTCCCGTTAGGTCCCATCGCCCTTCTCAGTCCCAAATAAGCACACAAAGACTTATACTAATTATAAATCTATTGACCGATGACTAGGGCTTCTTATTGGCTAGCTCTATCTTAATTATTATAACTACTAATCTATGTATTTCTACATGGTCTTGGCTTACCAGAGAATGTCCCAACCTGTTACTCCTTTGGTGGCCTACATGGCATCTGTCCTGGCAGGTTTCCTCTGCCTACCTTTCCCAGAATTCTCCTCATCTCCTAGTCCCGCCTATCTTCCTGCCTTATTGGCCAACAGTATTTTATTCATCCAACCAATAAGAGAAACATATATACAGAAGGACATCCCCATCATATCAGTCCTGCCTAAAGGCTTGAAGACAGAATTTCCCTTGTTGGGTGGGAAGTCAAAGAGTCCCTTTCCTGCCTGACCCTCTACCACACACATCATTTTGTTTTAGCCTCTGAAGGATCCTGAAAGCTGCTGTGTGAGGCTATAGGAAGGTTGGGGAAAGCAGGGGCTAGCTTGCCAGATAGTAGGACTGTGGCAATGGGGAGGAAGTGGTGGGGCTGAGTTGGGGAGGGATATTGTGTACCCCACTTCTCTTTCATAGCCAAGGTCTTCCTGCTTTGGTAGCAGAGATGTGGGTGACCAACACTGGTGGCAGATGAGAAAGTGACAGCACTGGGGTCAAGGGTGTATCAGTTCCTGGCTCTTGCCCTGCCCCCTCCAAGTGTGGGGAGCACTAGAGAAGAAAGGAAGGGCACCTGTAGGGTGAGAAGAAAGATCCAGTCCTAGCTCCCTCCTAGCGCTCCCAGACAGAGACTGGCCCTGAGTCCTTACTGCAGGTACCATGCAGGCATGCCTTCTTTGCTGCCATTGGCCTCCTGGAGGGTCTTGCTTTGGACTCTTGCTGGAATCTTACATCTGTCTCAGAGCCTGAGGGGTCACTAAAGCTGTCTTGTCCGGGGCACCAGTGTCTTGTGACTGGATACTTGATAGCAGAGACTGTATGAACTTGTTGCCCAAGGAATGGAGTCTGCATCATAAAGCATTTTGGGTAAATGAGCCTCAAAGTTGTCCGGAAACCACTGTCAGCTTGCATCTTAGAAAGGACTGAGTGTGATGTCAGGCCAGCCTTGTTATGGACTGTGGAGGGAGAGGAGGCTATGAATCTAAGCTGAGCCTTGGTCCTCTGGATGTCTGTGGGTAGAGCTGGACAAGATCTTTGACCTTGCCACCATAGTAAGTCCTTTGGATCTTACTTGGACTGGAGACCCAGGGAAATGGTGACATTGGCTCCCAGCATACCGAGTCAGAGCCCCAGCCTCCCACACAATGCCTTCTGAAGGAAAAGGAAAAGGACCCCCAGTCTGTGGTGAGCAGCCCTCGCTTGGAACCTTGAATGGCCCTTTCCTGCAGTGAACACCCTGTGCTAGTTAACTGTCCATAGCAGTCCTGTGTTTGGCTTGGGCTCAAGTTTTCACAGATGAGTACAGACAGCCCAGATGGAGAAGGAGGGAGCATCAGTGGGGGCAAGAACCAAGAGTGGTGAAGGACTCTCACCCCACCTGGCCTGTCCTAGATCTAGCTGATGAGGCCCTGGTTACTCAATTGATATGGATGTTGAAGAGGCCTGGGAGGGAAGGGGGTGAATATGAATATCCCACTAGGCTGAAACGGGCCAGACAATTCCAACAGCCTCTACAGTGGGCACTGTTGTGGGGGACACAAGCAGAGGTGAGGCTGGGACAATTGAGAGCCCAAGTCCCAGGCCTCCTTGGTAGGTAAGCAGCTTGCTTCCCTGTGCTTCATTAGCATCTTCATCTGTAAAGTACAGAGAGTACAGAGTGCTGCTTCTGCCCTCCAGCACTGTCTCCAGGGAGGGCGTTATTATCACAGGACCAGAACCACCAAACCAACACCCCTGGGCTCTGTGACCCCTGGGCAGGATGGCTGCTGCTGCTCTACAGAGGCTAGGCTTCTACTGAGATCTTGGGTCACAAGGAAGAGATGAAACCTTGAGGGCACTATGCAAATATCTCAATAGGTGGGAATGACTTAGCCCTGCCCGTGGAGCACCAAGACTGCCTGGTTGGGTGAGTGGCATTTGTCAGCTGGTGGGTTTCTGGTCTTCTCCTAATCAGACAAGGTCAAAGCAGAATGAAAACACAGCTTGACTTTGTCATCACCAGTTACAAGCAGCAGACACATCCAATTTCTCCCCAAGCATTACTCAGTCCTAGTGACTGATCAACCTGCTGCTGCCTTCCTCCTTGAGCAGCCTCCCTGGTTCTATACACTTTTATTGTTCTGACCAGGACCTGGTCTTGGAAAGTGTTTGCACTTTTAATTTCACAATCAAGGAACTGGTGCCATCTTCCAAAAAGGGAAACTGAGCTACGGAGAAGGCTGTGCTCTCAGACCTCCTCTGAGACTGGAGAAGGCTGTGCTCTCAGGCCTCCTCTGAGACTTTTGGCCCCACTCAGCTCACTCAGTGCAAAATGAGATAATTGGCCCACAAGAGGGAAAAAGTCAAAAAGCCATAGGAAACTGTAGGGGACGCTGGCCTAGGACTGATTCTTTTTTTTTTTAAAGGGCGTGTCTCTGTGTTAGGGGCAGAGGATAGTAGCTGTGCCTTACTGAGGTCCCCACAGACCCGATTGT